GTCGCAGTTTGTGCTTTTGAGCTCGAGTAATGTGGCCAAGTTCAAGCGTCGCCGACCACCATCGGCTTCTCTACGCCGGGAAGATGGGTACGAGTACGACGCTGCTTCCGTCAAGAGGAGAGCTTTTGTTCTTGTGGGTATCTCTGTTCTTCCGTTTTTGCAGTTTCGATCGCCGGCTATGGCAGATGAAAGTGAGTCTCTTTTTATTCTGATTCTTCTCATACTTCATTGTTGTCTACTGAGTTTATAAGAATGCTCAAATTTTGGTTTTATCTTTCATTGCTGTGATCAGTTGTTCTATTTTATTTCAGGAGACAGTGAGATAAAGGCAACAAAGCTTAATCAAGAAAATGAGGTTTTTACACTCTCTTGGACCTTCTGATATTGAATTCTGAAACCTCATTACATCAGTCATTTGAGAATCAATATATGTTTTCAAGTGCCTGAGACTTTACTAGATCAGTATTGCTTTGGTGGATAGGTTGCAGGGAGTGAAGGAACATCCCCAAATCCATTTCTGTCTCTTCTCAATGGTCTTGGAATTTTCAGTTCTGGAGTTCTTGGTGCACTCTATGCACTGGCTCGGAAAGACATAAGCACTGCCGAAGAAACCATCGAATCTGTAAGCTACTCTCGCATTTAAGAGTTTGTTTAACAATTGTGACAGAATGTTCTCATCGGCCTTTTGATACTCATAACAGTTATTGTGGCAGAATGTTTTATCATTTAGTTTGAGCTTCTCGTTGTTTGTGAGGTTGTGAATAACTCGCTGCTGGATTTTATCATTTTATACTTACGCTAACCGATAACCGTGACATACAGCTAAAGAACCAGTTGAAAGACAGAGAAAGAACATTAATTTCGAAGGAGAATGACATTGAAGCAAGACTGCAGCTTGAGCAGGAAGAGCGAAGCATCGAACTAAAAAAGGCAAAAGAGGAACAAATGTCATTGATCAACCAGTTGAATTCTGCAAAGGATGTCGTGACAGGACTAGGCCGGGAGCTAAGCAGCGAAAAGAAATTATGTGAGGAGCTTAGAGTTCAAATTGTTAGTCTGCAAAATAATCTGTCAAAGGCTGCTGAAGACAAAAAGGCACTTGAAACAGAGCTCAAAGAAAAGGTTGATTTGGTTGAGGGACTACAAGATCGGATCAACTTGCTTAGTTTGGAGCTCAAAGATAATGAAGAAAAAGCTCAACGTATTAGCGCATCACTGGCAGAAAAAGAAGCAGAACTGAAGAAACTCAACTCTACTTACACTCAAACTAGCCAAGATCTTGATAAAGCAAAATTAGAAATCAAACAGCTGAAAGAACAAGTCACAAGAAATCAGACTGAATTGGACTTGAAGAATTCTGCCATTGAGGAGTTAAACACCAGAACAAGCACTTTAGTGGCTGAGAAAGAGAGTTATATCAAGAAGCTTGATGATGTTTCAAAAGATTATAGTGCTTTGAAGTTGACCTCTGAAACCCAAGCCACTGCTGATGCGGAGCTCATGAGTAAGAAAGAGCAGGAGATTCAGCAGCTAGAGGAAAAGCTGGATCGTGCGCTAAATGATGTAAACGAGAATAAAGACAAAGTTGCTGACGTTACTGAGAAGTACGAAGACTTGAAGCGAATGCTGGATATAGAACTGACTAATGTAAAAAATCTGAGACATGAACTTGAAGGAACAAAGAAAACACTTCAGGCATCAAGAGATCGGGTCTCCGACCTGGAAAAGCTACTTGATGAGTCAAGAGCTTTGTGTTCAAAGTTTGAATCAGAGCTTTCTGTAGTTCATGCAGAATCAGATGAAGCCAAGGAAAGATATAAAAAGAGCCTTGATGAGGCAAAACGAAACAGTGAGCTTTTGGCTAGCGAACTTGTAGTGGAGAAAGATCTTCTAAAGAAAGCTAAAGACGAGCTTGAGGGACTGACCCATGAACTCCAAGAGTCTTCT